GCCCCCGCGGGCACTGGCGGGGGGGGGGCTCCCCCCCGCCCCGTTCTAAAAGGCAAAAAGGGCCCCCGGGGGGGGGGGGGAGGGGAGGGGGCTGGGCCGGGGTTGCCCCCCCCCCCCACACGAGGGTCTCTTCTTGCCTTTCAGAACGGGACGGGGGGCAGCATCCGCCCAGTCAGTGCCAGCGAGGTCTTCTGGAAGTGAGTCTGGTTGGTTGGGAGGGAGACACACCTGGGGCAGGTAGGCTCCCTCTCTTGGGGGAGGGGGTGTCAGCCTAGGGAAGGGGGCACTGGGGCTTCTCCAACTGCCAGCACCAGCTCATGGGACACACACGGACGGACGGACGGACGGACGGATGGACACGGACACACACCAAGAAACCGGCCAATATGGAGGGAGGGGGAACTGACCCTCCCCTCCATTCCCCCCCCCTCAAGGGACAGGCTGGGCCTCCCTAGCAAAACCCCTCCTCTTTCCTGGTTCCTGCCAGGGGGAGGGGGCTGTGTGGGTGGGAAGCCCACTTTGTAAGGGCAGAGGGAGAGCTGCAGGCAGTCCTCGACTTACAACTATAATGGAGTCTGAAGCGTCTATTGCCCATAACTGAATTGTGTCCCATTTTATGGCCTTTCTGGCCACAGTTGCTAAGTGAATCACTGGGGTTTCTAAATTCATGACAAATTTAGTGTTCAGTGAATCGGACTCCTTCCCCCCCTTCCCCCCCTTCGGCTTTGCTGGTCACAAAAGGGGATCAGGTGGCTCCGGGGTCTCCGCGACCGTCATAAACACGAGTCAGTTGCAAAACGTCTGAACTTTATAAGTATAAAAAACAGTCAGGGGTTTTCACGGCCTTTGCAACTTCAAGCGGTCGCTAAATCAAGCGGTGTAAGTCGAGGACTTCCCAATGGGCGGGGGAGGGTCCCAGGGAGGGGGGGCTCCTTCCTGCCCCTCAGCCGCCCCCTCCCCCTCTTCTGCTTCAGCCAGCGGGTGCTGGGCATGGTGCACAGCTCCGGCCTGGGGGACCCCGGTCCCGTGAGGGAGCCCCTGGCGCTGTGCCTGCTGCTGGCCTGGGCGCTCATCTTCCTCTGCACCCTGAAGGGCATCCGCACCTCGGGCAAGGTGAGTGAGCCTGGGGGGGGAGGAGGGGGGTGTTGGGGTGCTCTGGGCCACGGGGCCCATTCCCCGGGGGCAGCCCCTCCTTGGCCTTCCCTGGGGGGGGAAGACACAGCCGGGGTGCTTCTCCCTCTCAGCTGCCCGGCTGTCTCCCTGCCCAGATCGTCTACTTCACCGCCACCTTCCCCTACGTGGTCATCGTGGTCCTGATCATCCGGGGAGCCACGCTGGAGGGCTCCATCGAGGGCGTCCGGTTCTACCTCTCCGCAGACTGGAGCCGCCTGCAGAGCGCCCAGGTGGGACCCCGGGCAGCAGCCCCCTCCCCAGCCGTGTGTGTGTGTGGTTGTGGGAGAACCCAACCGATAAGATGGTTTCTTGCAAGGGGAAGGCCTGGGGTCTTAGGAGGCGGGATGGGGGGGGGCCTCAGCCGCAACTGAAAGGGTGGGCAGGGGGTCCTGCCTCCGTCCCCCTCCTGGGGAGGCTAATGGGGGAGCAGACAGGGAGGAAGCCCCCTCCAGGGTGGATTTCCACCTTAGCTAAGCCACGGTCTCTTAACCAGGCCTGGTGGAACAAACACCCGAGACCCCCAAAGCCTCTCTTGGTCTAACCGTGGTTCAAAAGAGAGTATTTGTGGCTCAGGGTTAACGTCCTTGGTGCTCTCTGAGCTGATCTTCTTGCAAACATTTCACGACCCAACTAGGGAACGACATCAGCACCACTGTCGTCATTAGCACTGATGATGTTCCCTAGTTGGGTCGTGAAATGCTTCCAAGAAGATCAGCCGAGCTCAGAGCACCAGGGACCCCACATAGCCCTCCTGGCACTGATGATGTTCCCTAGTTGGGCCATGAAACGCCTGCAAGAAGCCCAGGAAGCTCGGAGGGCCCCGGGGGGCCCCTCAGTTCCTGGGGAGGGTCTTTGCGTAGCTGAGCTCAGACGTTCCGGGAGCCAGAATGAGGCCTTTCTGCTGGCAACCCCTGGGCCTTACACCTTGTGGGGAGGCTTGTGGGGACCAGGGGCTGGGAAACGGGGGCTGCCAGGTGAGGAGGTGGGGGGCCCCCCGGGGAGAAGGCGGCCCCAGAACCTCTCTCTCCCCCTCCTTGGAGAAGGTGTGGAGTGACGCGGCCTCGCAGATCTTCTACTCGCTGGGCATCGGCTTCGGGGGGCTCCTCTCCATGGCTTCCTACAACAGGTTTGACAACAACGTCATCAGGTGAGGCCTCTGGAGGGCCCCCCCTCCCCACCCGCCGGCTCCTTGGCTAAAACCAGGCTGCGTCCAGGTTGGCCCCCCCGGGGAAAAGGAGGGGCTTTGGGGGGGGTCTCCACCCCCACTTTCTGCGGTGGAAAACCTCTGGGGGGGCAGGAGGGACGCAGCCGTGGGGCCCCCCAAAGGGACCCAATGCAGCCCAGAGGGCGCCTGGCCGCCTCCTTGTCCAGCCCCACGAGTGCCCCCCTCCCCTCTGCCCCCAGGGACACGCTGGTGATTGGCATCGGGAATTGCTGCACCAGCTTCTTCGCGGGCTTCGCCATTTTCTCCGTCCTGGGGCACATGGCCTGGCGCAAGAGGGTCTCGGTCGACAGGGTGGCCGACTCAGGTAGGGGGGCTGCGGGGGGGGAGCCCCTTTGGCCGGGTGGGCTCTCGGAGGCTCTAAGACCCCCAGGGACGCCTTGGGGCCCTCCCCTTCCCCCCCCAGGTGGGCTCCCTGGGAGCAAAGGCACTTTTGCCACCCCCTGTGGAGGGGGAGAAGGGGGGCTGGGCGGAGGAGAGCCCCACAGCCCCCCCCCCTTCACACCTCCTCTCCGTCTTCCGGCTCCCTTTTGCCTGCCTGCCTGGTCAGCTTGGCCAAAGCAGTCGGGGGAAGGGTGGGGGGGTGGGTGGGGGGCTTTGAGTGACCCCTGGCTCTTTCCTCAGGACCCGGCCTGGCTTTCGTGGCCTACCCAGAGGCCCTGGCTCTGCTGCCCTGCTCCTCCTTCTGGTCCATCCTCTTCTTCCTCATGCTCCTCACCCTGGGGGTGGACACGCTGGTGAGTCCCCGCCGACCGGGGGGGGGGGGCTTTTTGCAAGGGAGGGGGGAGGTAGGAGCCCCCCACCAAGAGCAGCAGCAGCTTCTGCTGTAACCGGACCCAACTGGTCCCTTCAGGTCTGTTGCGGTTCCCACTGAGCACATCTGGGGGAGGGTCCTGAAGAAAACATCTGGCCCTCTGGGGTGGTTTTTAAGGCAATGGAGCTTCTTGGTTTCCTTCCTTCCTTCCCTCTTTCCTTCCTTCCTTCCTTCCTTCCCTTTTTCCTTCCTTCTTTCTTTCCTTCCTTCCTTCCTCCTTCCTTCCTTCTTTCCCTTTTTCCTTCCTTCCTTCCTTCCCTTTTTCCTTCCTTCCTTCCTTCCTTCCCTTTTTCCTTCCTTCCTTCCTTCCTCCTTCCTTCCTCCTTCTTTCCTTCCCTCTTTCCTTCCTTCCTTCCCTTTTTCCTTCCTTCCTTCCTTCCTTCCTTCCTTCCTTCCTTCCTTCCTTCCTTCC